TGCCCCGCCAGCCGATCACTTCCTTTCTCGCTGGCCTATTTTAGGCTGTTTGCCCAGGGAGGAGCAACACGGCGATGTCACCAGATATGTCACATTTTCCTGGTTGAGAGCAAACTTGTCTGCGTGACACAGTGACAGCTGACCTTTGATAGCTGCCGTAACAACAAATACCGCCCGGAACGCCCTGTGAGTTGTGTTTGTACCCTGAATCTTGGTGTCTCCCCCAGCCAGGGCGTTTCCGTCTCCCTCCTGCGCAGGGGTTTCGGGGTCGTCGGGCTCCCATTAGGGGAGCAGGAGGCAGGTGAGGTCTCTCGATCTCACCTCCGGCAGGCTCCAAGTGAATTTGTGGGTGTTGTCACTCCTGCACACTCTCCAAATTTCCTTTTTGGAAGATTTGGAGCTTGTTCTTCACTTAAGGCGAATCAGAACAGCAGGGCAAAGGTCTGCGTTGTGTTAAAAACGGAACAGGTAGCTGCAGCGTGTGCCGTTACCTTCATTTTTGTTATGGTCTGCAGGAGAAAAGACCAGGTTTTGAAGGCAACGCTGGTGATCAGCTGAAGTGTTGGGGCTGACAGGCGAGGTTTCGGTTAGCGGGAGGTGCGATCAGCAGCTCCGTGGGCCTGAAGGTGCTAGAAAGGGGTCTAGGGGCACATGGGGAAGCAGTCTGCCAGCCCTGGGGTGAAGCTGCAGTCCCCTCTGGTCCCCTCTCCCCTTTTATTTTATCCAAAATTAAAATCCATCAACTAAGAAACCTTTTTCTAAATATTAGCAATTGTGGATGCAAACAAATGAAAAAAAAAAAAAACATGCTAAAAAGGACTCTGAAACAAAGGCACAGCAGAGAGAATGAATTTGTTATTAATAAAAGTGTAGTGGTGATGGGAGCCTTCATCTCTGTCAGCACTGGTGCTCGAAGAGCGTTTGGCTTATTTACGACCAAGGGAAGAGCTCAGGCTCGCTGCAGCCCATCACCTTGCGTGAGGTTTGCAAGCGCTGTGGCAAAGGGGTTGGCGTAAAACACGGGACTTTTATGCAGAGAAAAGTTGAATGGAGAGATCCCACGGGAGCCAAAGACCCGAGTCCTTCCCGGCTGTTTGCCGATGCTCTGCTCCGGAGAACTCGCCGTTCCCTTGCGTGTCAGGATAACGCCCGTCTGTTTAAGTGAAAAACGTCTTCCCCTGGAATCGAACGTTTTTGCAATCGCCTGCGAGGGGGCTGCCGGCCTTTGAGGGCGGATTGCTCCAAGCAGTGCCGCCGGAAAGCAAACAAAAGGAGCCGAGCGAAGATGAGTCTTGTTAGAAAGACCGGAGGGCTGCGATGGCCTACCGACCAGGGGTGATCCACCGCGAAATGCTGCTGGCAAAGCCAAGAAGACCCCGGCATGTGTCATCAACCGGTGCGTCAGTGTCATCCCATGTTTTTCCTTTGGTGTCGGGGCCTGGGGCAAACCAGAGCTCCAAGAGCTGACGGGGGCTTCCAGGTAGGCGTCCTTATCCGAACAGCCTGTGGGTTTTCCTCGTCTTTAAGTTTTCAGGCACGTAACAACATTTTTCCTAAATTAGAGTAGGTCGCCTCTCAACCTCTTAAGGAGAGCACGGACAAGGAAGCAGCTCTTCCCTGAGCATCAGTCCTAATGACACGGGCAACGTGGCCTCCTGTAGCTGTCCCGGGTTTTGGCAGAGAGAAAATAAGTGGTAGTTCGTGTTTTCTGCCTTTTCTAGCTTCGTCAAAATTAGGAGCTTCACCGGCATTTGTAAATGGACGTAATGCCCAGCTGGGTTTCAACGCCACGTTTGGCATCTCTCATTCGGAGGTGCTAACCCGTTGGTGGACGTGGGGAATCTTTTCTTTTCGCGGCGTGTTCCTGGCAGCTCGCCTCCATTTTGCCGAGAGACGACTGGCTGAGCAGCAGAGACAGGCATGAACGCCGGACGCCGTCGAGACTTCGGGGGCTCCTAGTCACCATCATGTATGACCGGCGTGTTCTTGGTTGGTTTGGCGCTCCCGGCACGAGACAGGACTGCTCGGACACTGCACAGCCTTCAAAAAGCAGCGTGCTTTCCCCGGCGGTGGCACTGAGCACCTGAGCTGCCACGGAGCCATTGGCCCCTGTCTCTTCGCTTGACGTGCCGAGAATTGCAGATACTCCTCTTGCTTTCTCTGCCCTTCTTGTGCAAGAAGTCTTTAAAATGCTGCTTTAAAAAAAAGTGCTCCAGGGCACCTGCGCTGTCCGTAAACTCGCTTTCGTTCCGATAGAGGCTCGGTTGCAGGTTTGTGTTGAGATGGAGCAACTTCCCCCGCGCTGCCCGGAGCTCAGCCCTTCTGCCCTGAGCCTGCAGCACGTCGCGGGGCTGCCGCTTCCCCTTCTGCACCAGAGGGCATTCGCTTTCAGATGGTGTGCGCTGACTTGCGTCATGGCACTGATACAGATACTTAATCCTAGTCCTAATTCTAAACTTGAGTCTCTCTGTGTCAAGATCCCATCTTACGGTTTTACTGACCCTTTTATTGCCATTTATCTGGTAATTTCGCCGTTGTGCCGGGCTGTCTGCGTCCCTCCTGCCATTTTCACCATCCCCAGGGTACTGAGCAGCTCTGAAAGCCCCCGAGGTTTGCAGCTTTTCTGGGGAGCATTTACTAAGGCCCGTGTGTTACTCCTAATTGCGGTGTACCTCGTCAGACAGAGCAGTTAGTAACTTGTTCTTTCTCTTCCAGGTCGACGCACAACGAGATGGAAAAGAACAGGTAAGTGTTGGAGGCTCGTTAGGAACCGGGTTTGGACGAATTGCTGCTTTTCCAGGGGTTGGGAACCAGGGCCAGGGAGCCGAGGCAGCGTTGAGATGGGAAGTGGGAGGGAAGGGATGGGATGGCTGGAGAAAGTGGCCGCCGAGGAGGTACCTGACATTGCTCGGACTTGCAGCGTTCCCTGTGCTTGGGTGCCGGAGCAGCTGTGCAATAAGGAGGTGGGAATGATATTTCTCCCCTCTGCCAGCTCCCGGTTTGCTGGTGAAACCCCAAGCAGCGTGCTTCCCTTCTTCCCACCCCTCAGCTTGCTAGGGAGAAGGTTTTCCAGCCCTCTCCCAATTCCCAGGTGCAATCCCGTGCCGGTGGGATGGCCGACATCCTCTGCTGGCCCGCAGTCGGGGTGTAGGTACCCGACCGGAGCTGTGCCTACACATAACTCTGATTATTTGCGACAGAGCGGTGCGGTCTTTGTCGTCCAGCTGAAAGATGGCTTTGTGTCCTTGGTAGGCTGCGCTTTTCCTCGGCATGGCTTGGACGCGGCTCAAATCTTATGTCCTGCTGCCAGCGCAGGACTGGTGTGAACTCGGTCGGTTTGTATCTTGGGAGGCAGAACTACCTGTGTCCCAGGGGACGTGGGTTAGAAAAGGCCAGGGACATTTATTCCTCATTTGAAAAGACCAAGAAATTAGCATTTGATTACTTCAGGCTCACCTTACATCCCTCTCGCCTTGTTTAGACCACAGCCGTGTCGAAATCCTGTTGGTAACGTTGCACAAGCGAGCGCAGTAAATGCTCCATCTTTTCCGCCCCTTCAAACAGGCTGGAGAAATGAGCTGCTCCCTGGACAGAGATTAGGCGCCCCTTCTTCCTTCGCTCCTCGTTAGAGATCCCTTAATCACGTCCTGTGGCGGTCAGTCCTGGCCTTGACCAAAGTTTGCTGGCGTCCCCCTGCCCCAGCACGAGCTGCAGCTTGGCCTGATACGGGGAGGGCGAGCGATGGGCAGATGGATATCTCACAGAGCGTAAGGACGAGGGCAATAAAACAAGCCGATGGGCTTGGAAGGTCCTTTGCCCGGGAAATTAATCCTTTGAGGGTTTTTTTTCTTTTTACTACTACGAACCAGTGGGATTTCTGGGGGTTTTTAAGCGTGGCAGCAGTTTCAGCTGGGTGAAGCGTGGCAGAAATGCACTTTTATGTACGCTGCGCCTCTAACTTCGAAGCGGAAACCCCAGTTTTGACTCCGGCGTTGGCGTTGTGTAATCCAGAAACTTGCTGGGCGCTGGCTGAGCGGGGCGGGTTGCTGCTGCGCTCCCCCCTGCCTAACTTCTGCTAGACAGGGCGGGCTGGTTTTTTCCATTCACTGTTTTTCTGGTGCGAGCAGCCAGCGTGACAAGGCTTTTTTTTTTAGCAGAGGTAGCCGAGGATTTTCAACTTTTGCTGCCGCAGCCCTCGCGGAGCACGGCTGGGCTAGCTCCTTATCCGTAGATCTCACAGGTGTATCACTGGTAAGCCAGCACGGCACGGTCGGACGGGTCTGCACCGCTCCGGGCAGCTCTTCCTCCCCCTGCTCAGGAAAATAATCTTTGCAAAGGCTCATCTTTGAGCCCATCGGTGTTTGGGATTTACCCGAAGAGTGGAGACCACGTGTTTTGTTTGCGTCGTAATTCAGAAGGTACTTTGCGTAGGCAAATGCCTGTTTACTCCTAGCGTACCCAAAACAAGATAGGCAGGTACTTGCAAAATCCCCATTTGCAGCTCTGCCTGTGTCGATCGGGTATTTCAAAGGCGGGTGTTGCAACTGATGCCCAAGAATGTGACCTACATCTTGGGGCTGGAGTGCCGAACACGAGGGAAACTGGCCCATACTGGGAGCACCTCGGTTATTGATGGATAAAGGGACTTCCTCGAGGAGCCGGAGTTTCCCTCGGCAGTGGTGTGCAAGCGGTAAAGCGTTAGCCTACGTATTAATGCATGGGTGTTATACAGGGAGGGAGGAATTCCTGGCAGGCTCCTAAGCCGGGGCAGCCGAGGAGCATGGTGATGCTCAGGGCCAGCGTTCCCTCAGGGACTTGGCTGTGTTTTCACCAGAGCTGCGTATGCCAAGGCAATGGATCTGAAACCGGCCCGTTCCTACTAAAAATAGGGAAAGGAAGCGCTCCCAAGGGATGCGGTGGGTTTACAGCTGTGCGGCGGCAGCCCGGACAGCTTCAGCTGTCGGTGGAGCAAGGCGGTGGTCAAACAGCATCCCTGCAGTGAAGCTTTTTGGGAAGAGAAAGACCAAAAGTGGATACTCTCGCCCCAAAAGTCAAGGTCTTTGGCAGCTCCTCACCGGCAAGCATCCCGACAGCCTGAAAGGCGCCGGCAGGTTTTTGTTGGTGGGGGTGGCTGAAGCCAGAGTCAGGTTTTTCGGAGATGTCCTTTTGTCTGACTGCGGTTTTAGCCCGGTGTATGGAAGCTGCCGGAGGGTGGGAAGGCATCTGGTTCAGCTTAGCTCCCAACCACCTTGATTATCCGCGCTTGCAGGGCTGGAATGCTGTTTGGGAAGCGAGTACCTGAACGCTCAGCGTGTCGTGTGATCTTGTTACAGGCGTGCCCATCTGCGGTTGTGTTTGGAGAAGCTGAAGGGGCTGGTGCCACTCGGACCCGAAGCCAGCAGACACACCACCCTGAGTTTACTAAGGAAGGCTAAATTGCACATCAAGGTGAGCGTGGGCTCGGTCGGTGCCGCTGAAGCCACCCGCTGTGGGAGACGCAATAAAATCGGGCTCCGTCCCTGTCGGGTGGGTGCTGAGCTCGGCTTCGAGAGCAGCACTGCTGCATGGTGCGCAGGGCTTATGGGGTGTCTGGATCCTCGAGCAGGATGAAGGTAACGGCCGGGTCAGGACGTTGGTTTGGAAATACTGACGGAGGTTAATGCTGCCATGGGTCAGCATTGCCCTTCTGGTGGTTGGCACAGCGAGTCCGTGCGGTTCTCCTTATCAACGGGCTCGTAGAAGGCGGCCGTGCTGCTTTACAGCCGAATTTCTGCGTTGTACCCTACACCGCAGCGATGCCCAGAGGCTGTGAGGGTGAGACTGGCTGCAGGATTGGAGAACAGCTGCTTTTTTCCTTTGTTTTCTAGAGTATTTCCTACTTCACTCTGTCGTTTAGACTGACTCGACAGGGCTCTCCTCGCTGGGTGTATTTAGAGCTCCATGAGCTGAGAGGTAGCCGGGGAAGCGCTGGCATTGGGCTGCGTTCAGCTCCCTAGTTATCAAAGACTCTGAAAATACATAAATAGGATGGGGTGGGCTCCAGCATCGCTGCACACGTGAATTGTTTGGAGGGGAAACGTCCTTTACGTGCCTTCTCCAGCGGCCTCAGGGCAGCTCCGGAGCTTTCCGTCCCCGGGCCAGATGCTGCAGCCGGCTTCGATGTCTGTTGGCTTCAGGAGGATGAAAGTTGCATCCATGTGGCTCGTGTGCTCGACGTCCTGAGCATGCTGAAGCCGGGGAGCCTCTCAGTAGTTGGCTGCGGTCGCGTTTAGGTGGCTCGGTTAGCAGAAGCAATGTTTCACGTGTGGCTGGAGGCTGGGGAGCTCAGGCTGCCTTCTCTCTCGTCCTCTGCAGAAGCTTGAAGACTACGACAGGAAAGCCGTACACCAAATAGACCAGCTGCAGCGGGAGCAGCGGCACCTGAAAAGACAGCTGGAGAAGCTGGGGATAGAGAGGATAAGGATGGACAGTATCGGATCCACTGTTTCTTCGGAGCGCTCAGACTCAGATAGAGGTGAGACCCCCGTGCTCGGGACAGAGCCGCACCGACTGGCGAGAGGTCTGGCCGGCCGCCTTGTAACGCTACCCGTTCCTCTCGCAGAAGAGATAGACGTGGACGTGGAGAGCACGGACGACCTTCCTGCGGACCTCGACTGGAGCAGCAGCAGCCCGAGCGACTCAGATGAAAGAGGGAGCCTGCAGAGCGTCTGTAGCGATGAGGGCTATTCCAGCTCCGGCGTGAAGAGGTTGAAGTCCCAGGGCAATCGCAAACCTTCTCTCGGTCTGTAAGAAGCAACTCCTGTAGCTGTTTCACCCGTCGCTGTTTCCCTTTGGATCTCATTAGGTAGCACACCAGACCGTCCCACCATTCTCTTGCACGTAAAAAATCTTAACATACCGCCGACCGAAATGAAGCTGAGCTTTGCCGAAGTCCCAAAACACCGCGTAGGGCTGCGGGTGGCAAGCTGCTCCCCGGAGCTCACCACCACTCGCATCCGCTGGCTTCTCTTCCCACCTGGAAACTCCTCTCTGCGAGGTCGTACATTCCAGACACATTTTGAAGCACCCAAGAATATCCCAGCGGTAACAGCAACCACAAAAGCCCTCCCCTGGGTGTTTTGGCTTGCTGTCACCGCCTGGTATTCTGGATCTACTCTGCATTTACCCTGCAACGTATCACGTACCTGATAATCGGTGACAGGGCCCAAATGTGGAGTTTTTGGGTGAGGATCTGAAGGCAGAGCCGGCCTCTTGCGTAGCTTAGATCCAGGAGAAAGCGGAGGCAAGTCGGTGATGGGCACGCGGAGCGTTTCGGCCACGTTGCGTCGGACGGGTGCAGGGATTGCACCGCCAGCCGCCGGCGCATTAGTCGGAGGGCTCGTCTCCACCGACTCTAAATATTCAGGGTAGCAGCGCAGCCATACACAGCCCAGCCCGGCCCTGCCGCCTTCCCAGAGCCAGAGCCTTGGGGAACGCCGCTCGGGGGGGGCTGCGGGGACAGTCGTCATCGCCCCTCTCGCAGAGCCTCGGGTCGGACACCTTTGGTCTGGGAAGTTTTCTGTCTCACCTAAGACCAAACGGTCCCTGTCCTGTGCGACGTCCCACCTCCTGCGTCGTGGCTGCACATCGCTGTTCTAGGCGAGCGCTCCTGGAATTTACTTTTCACGCTTCTTGTCTCGGGGACAATTTTTTTCTACCTCGGAGAGATGAACAAAGATTATCTCCATCCCTTTAGCACAAAAAACAAAGATGATGCCTCATCTGTTTTACAGAAGCAATGTCCGGCCCCGTTCAAATCCATCGCGCGACAGTTTAGCAATAACCCGACGGTGAGGGGGAGCGGGGCACCCTCTGGCCGTCGGCGCCCGCGGGACCCCACGG